ATATCTTTATAACTGAAGGATATAGCTGAAATACGATAACTATATTAGATTCCTCGTTTTTCGATTAGTAAAGTAATATTAGTTTTATTTATTTTAAATCATCGTACTGAACAGGAGCAGCGTAGGCACGCTGACGGAGGCACGAAACAAGGACTGCCCAACTGCTAACAACTGGCCCAGTGCCGATCAACCAAGATCACAGCTGTAAACAGCTGTAATCGGTTGATCGGCCAGCTGAAACGGCAGCTGGGAAAGGGAACTGGAAGGGGCAACGAGGATGGCTAGAAAGGCATGGCAAGAAACGAGTGAATGGCTGTAGGCTGTGATGTCTACAGGTCTAAGTCTAACTGATGAAAATATGAGTGCGCGACCCATATAAATACGCATCCAAAAGGCTACGTGGCCTAGATCCACCGCACCACTACAGTACGTACTATAGTTACCGATAAAGTTTACTTTCGAGTAGGCTATCCGGGACTCTAGCATCGCGTACCCTCTGCTCCTTCCCAATAGTTAGTTACCTATCTTATTATCTACTTATTACTATTATAATCGCTCTTCGTTACCCTATTTCGTCCTAACTTATCCTATTAGCCTTTAATTAAACTAGCTAGCCTATAATTAATTAATGTTAATTGGGATTAAGTTAATTAATATTAATAGGAAACGAAGACTACCCTACTTATTATTATATTAAGAGTTTAATTACTTCTTATAGAATAATTAAACTGGAGAGACTGTAGTAGTACGGTAGATATAGGCTACGTAGCCTTTTAGATGTATATTTATATGGGTCTCGTACTTAGATTTTCATTAGTTGGACTTAGACCTATAGGCATCATAACCTACAGCTTTATTTACTTCTTTTGCTATGCCTTTCTAAAGCCTTCTTGCTATCTTATTTTTCTTAGTCTTTTCTCAGCTGCCGTTTTCAGCCGGCCGATCAACCGATTATGGCTGTTTACAATTGTAATCTAGGTTGATCAGCATTGGGCCAGTTGTTAGCAGTTGGATAGCCGTTTTCGTGCCTCTATTACAGCGTGCCTACGCTGCTCCTGTTCAATATATAATAGTACCTGTCCGATAGGTTGAAGAGGTGAAGAGACCTTCTTAGGTACTAAAAAAAGCAAAGCGTACGTAATACTAAAATTCTATCAAGTTTATATAAAAGTATACTCTACTAGTAACTATAATACGAATAATAATCTAAAATTAATATTGATTTATAAATTACAAAGTAAGAAATCTAATATAGTTATCATTTTCAAGTCTAGCTTACGGTTGTAGAGATGTAATAGTCGTTAGCCCAAAGGTAAAAAAGGTAAAGAAGGAAAAGAAACTATACAAAAAAGTAATTTATTTAGTTATTATAATATAATGAAGAAACTAAAATACTTATAATTAAAATAAATATATTGAATAAAAAATGATAAATATAGTTATAGAAACGAATTTTAAATAAAAAAGAAAATAATAAAGTTAATAATTTAAATAAATAATTATAATAATACAAACCGCGCTTATAGGAGTTATAACTACTTTATATAAGTATAATGCTTATCATAATATATTATGTAATCTATTAGAAGGGTAAGCCTTACTATACTACTATAATAGTATTAATAATCAATGTAGATAAATAAGAATAATTAAGTAGGTAAGCTTTTTATAATTAAATTAAACTAATTAGAAAAGACTAACTACCTTTAAGCGTATATTATAAAAGGAAAAGTAGCGGTAACGTAGTTAGACTAGCTCACTATTTAAATACTTATTAAAAACGGAGACAATACTTGTTCTCTCTAAGAACTAACTAAAGGAATGGAAGCAACGGGAGCGTATATATATAAGCTTCTGTTGCTAAAGTAAGCAACGAAGAGGCACAACCTCTACGTGATAGTATATTTAAAAAATAAGTAAGATACTATAGTTTCATAAAGTTATCACATAGTGAACAGGAGCAGCGTAGGCACGCTGTGATGGAGGCACGAAAAGGACTGCCCAACTGCCAATAACTGGCCCAGTGCCGATCAACCAAGATCATAGCTGTAAATAGCTATAATCGGTTGATCGGCTAGCTGAAAACGGCAGCTAGGAAAGGAAGAGTAGAAACTAGAAAAGGGTAACGAGGATGGCTACAAAAGGCATTGCAACAAACGAGTAAATACCTGTAACTAGTAATGGCTATAATAGCTATCGTAATATCTATAGGTCTAAGTCTAACTAATGAAAATATGAATACGCGACCTATATAAATATACATCGAAAAGGCTACGTAGCCTAGATCCACCGTACTACTACAGCCTCCTTAGTTTAATTAATCTATAAAAAGTAATTAAACTCCCTAATAAGAACAGGTACGGTGACTCTCGTTTTCTATTAATCCTAAATAACCTAATCCCGATTAACCCTAATCAATTAAAAGCTAGCCAGTTCAATTAAAGGCCAACAGGATAAGTTAAGAAGAAACAGGTCTTCAACTGGAAGCGATTGCAATAGCAATAAGTAAGTAGTAGGATAGGTAACTATAACTATGCCTAACTATGCCTAATCCTAATCAATCCTAAACCTATTTAATCGTTACTAACTAAGAGCCAAGCCAGTTTAATTAATGATTAATAGGAAATAGGAAAGATCTGATAATAAGAACTAGGCTAGCAGAGCTATAACCTATAAACTGACCTAATTAACCTATTCCTAATCAACCCCAATTAACTGGAAGCGAGCTAGGTTCATTAGGGCCATCAAGAAACAACAGGAATGAATCGGAAAATAAGAACTATAATGAGGCAGGTAAAATAAGCGTAGCTCCCGAAAGAAACAAAAGAAATTAATCTCCGTCCTTCTCGTCCATAGCTATTAATCCTTTTAACTAATCCTAATCTTATAAACTAACTAATATATTCTATTTATACCCGACTATTTCCGTTTCTAATTATTATTCGTCCGGTAGCATCTACCGGGCTTCCCTTGACCCTCGATCCCTTTCTTATACGTAGTTCTAGGGGCTCTGGCTCTTCCTACTAACCATATATCGGTAAAGGCGATAAGAGGGGTCTCTAGGCATTAACCTATAACTCGTTCCTATCCTATAACTATTTCTAGGCTATCTTATTCAATATCGTATCTATCTCGTATCGCGGTATCGTCTATAGGTCTTTAATCCTAATCGGTACGTCCCCGATTAGGCTTATGGCGTAGGTATAAGGTATGTCGGTATCTTATTATAAGGGCATCGTAGCACCTATCGGTTAAGGAGAAACCTCCCCAGGTACCGTAACTAGCTAGGATAAACAAAGGCGATCGGAGCTATCGGCAAGCCTCTTGTAATTAAAATAGACTAATCGGTAAAGAACGGATGCCTTCAAGCGCGTACGAGGTTGTAAAAAAGGGGGTGGTAGCGGTAACGGAGTTAGGTCAACTAAGAAAAACGGCCATCTAAGTACTATTAAAAACGAAGGCGAAACCGGGTAAAAACAGGCACAGCTCCTTCAAAAGAAACAACTAAGAAACGAGAACAGGGATTCCTACTAATCGGCGAACGAGCTTTTAGGTAAGCTGATCAAAAGCTGATGGGAGGGCGTGGTTATTAATAGTCGCCATAGTTATCTGCCCTCCCGTTAATCCTAACCTAAAAAGGCTTAATCCGAAAGCTACGAAAAACGGCTCTGGAGCTACGAAAATAGCTCCTAATTAACTAAAAATCAGGGAATCTCCTAATCGACGAATCCTAAACCTAATGACTATAAAAACAGGCGCAAAAGGTCGCTCCTAAGACTAATGAGGTTACGGCTCGGGCTACTAGGTGGTCGCTACTAAACAGGAGCAGCATAGGCACGCTATAATGGAAGCACGAAATAAAGACTACCTAACTACTAATAACTAGCCTAGTGCCGATTAACCTAAGATCACAGCTATAAATAGCTATAATCGGTTAATCGGCTAACTAAAAACGGCAACTAGGAAAGAAAAAGAAGAGAAGAGGAGAGAGAAAGGGAGACTAAAGACGGGTAACGAGGATCGCGAGAAAAGGCATAGCAAGAAACGAGTAAATGGCTATAGGTCGTAATAGCTACAGGTCTAAGTCTAACTAATAAAAATATAAGTACGCGACCCATATAAATAGACATCGAAAAGGCTACGTGGCCTAGATCCACCGCACCACTACAATACTTACCAGAAAAGCTACGTAGCTTAGTTTCATTATAGTATTATAGTATATAGTAAGAAGGAGTAGAGCGTACGCGATACTGGAGTCCCGGATAAGTTTACTCAAAAGTATACTCGAAGACCACAGTACGTACGATGGTCTAAGATAAATGAAACTAATATTACTATATTAATCGAGGGATAAGAAATCTAATGTAATTATTATATTTTAGGTATACCTCTTAGTAGTAAAGATATAATAATCACTAGCCCGAAGGTATAAAAGGTAAGAGAAAAGAAGCTAAATGCGAAAGTTGCTTATTTAGTTATAATGATACTACGAAGCGACTTAAGCGTTCGTAACTATAATAGATATACTAATTAGAAAACGACGAATCTAACGGTAAAAATAAATTTTCTATTAAAGTAAAAATAATAAAAATAGTAACCTGGTTAGATAATAAACTAAATAATAAGCACAACATAGCCCGTACTTACGGGAACTATAGTTACTTTATATAAGTATAAGGCCTATCGTAACGTATTACGTAATATATTAAAAGGGCATTTCTTTCTATACTATTACAATAGCTAGCTTTTAGAGACGTAACCTTAATAAAGCGTACTTTTCTTTACTTTCCTCTTTGTATAACTTTACTCTTTTAATATATACTCTTTTATTTAACGAACAGCTTTTAAAATCATAATATATTAAAACTATTATATAAAAAGTAACTACTTAAAATTTTTAATTTATATCATGTAGGCATGCGCCTCTGGTAGGAACCACCTAGCTTACCTAAGCTAGTTAAGTACTTTCATATATACCCATAGATTGCTTTATACCCTCTAGTAGATTTCATTCTTTCTAGTAAGTTAATACATACCTTCTTACCCGTATTTCATTACTCCCTTAGCGCGCAACCTAGTAAGCCACACGTAGCTCTCACCAGCTACGTAACAATTTATAAACACAGTTTTATAATATATAATTTCTCACGTTATACTAATTAATACTTATAGACAGCTATCCTTTTACTCTTTTAAGTTACCCTGCCTTTAATTAGCCTTCGTTGTTTATTAACGCCGCCTCGTTCCTCTTTACAAATAAATAATCACGCACCATCCGTAGCTAGGTCTTGGTCTGTCTCAGTGCCTAAATCCCGATCCTCCAAGAATGTGCGGCCGAGTAGTGCGTCAGGCAGGTAGTCTTGCTTGACTTTGCCGTCTTTATAGTTCGGATTGTACTTATACTCTCGGCCGTACCCAAGTTCCCGCATCAATCGTGTCGGTGCGTTCCTTAGGTGAATTGGAATCGGCAGGCCGGCTATGCCCGGTTCCTTCAAGGCAGCGAAGGCATTGTTTAACCCGCGATAGGCACGTGTACTTTTCGGCGCGAGTGAGAGTGCTACCGCACAGTGAGCTAAAGGTATTCGAGCTTCGGGCATACCTATCTGCTGCGTTGCCGTGAATGTTGACGTGGCGAGGCTGAGAAGCGAGTTATCAGCTAACCCAACATCTTCGGATGCAATAACAACCATACGCCGTGCAATGAACAGAGGATCTTCCCCTGATTGCAACATACGGGCCAGGTAATATAGGGCAGCGTCTGGATCAGAGCCACGGACTGACTTATGGAAAGCAGAGATAGTATCGTAATGCTGGTCGCCCGCACGATCATAGACGAGCGTTTTAGTGAGTGATGCTTTCATCTCTTCTCTCGTCATCCCTTCTCGACTTGTTAGGGAAATAGCTAGTTCTAATAGGTTGAGGGCCGTCCGTGCATCGCCATCGGCAAAGTTGGCTAGATAACCGATGAACTCCTCGTCCAGGAGAGGTGGCAGCGGTGATGAAGGTATCGAAAACTCGGTTTGTAATGCTCTCGATAATACTCGCTGTATGTCCGCTGTCGTCAACCTCTGCAACGTGAACGTTCGGCATCTCGAAAGGAGCGCATTAACAACCTTGAAACTTGGGTTTTCGGTTGTTGCGCCGATGAGGGTTATCGTGCCCGCCTCCACCGGTTTTAGGAACACGTCCTGCTGCGCCTTCGTGAAACGATGAATCTCATCGCAGAATACTACAGTTTTCCGGCCCGTTAGCGCCAGCTCGTTGGCTGCGTCACCGAATATTTTTTTACACTCTGCTACGCCCGAACTTGTGGCATTCATCTCGATAAACCGTGATGCAACCCTATTGGCTATGCACCGTGCGATGGTTGTCTTCCCAGTGCCTGACGCCCCCCATAATATCATTGATGGCAACCGATCGGATTCGATGAGCGAACGTAGAACGCCGTGTGGGCCGACTAGGTCTTGCCCGAAGATGTCGTCGAGGCTCTGGGGTCGCATGCGCTCAGCAAGCGGTGCTGACCGATTTGTTTTGGTTCTCTTCAGTACAGGACCTGTCTCCGCAGGCTCTACGCTCTCCACCTTGCTGCTCGCATCATGAGCAGGCAAGATTTCTCCAGGGCCTTCATCGAAGGAGCGCTTGAGGGCACCATTTAATTTCGTCCCTTGCCCGATACTGTTGATTAGGGGGTGTGTGGCTTTGACAGGGTTGGATTGGCGATTTGTGAATGAAGTATGGAAGAAACTGGATGGCGCGCGCTTCTGTGAAGGCGGCATGGAGCTATAGCTCTGTGTGGACGGCCCCTGAAAAGAGGATGACGAAATCGATGAGCTATCGACAACGAAAGTTTGGCATCCTGAATCGAGGTGGTCGTTAATCTTAGTAGACTGGACACATTTGCCGCAAGCTGGGCATTCTACCATCGCGGAGATGCTTGTAATTACGGAAGCACAGGTATTGCAAGAGGAAATGGAAAGCGAGAGAGGGGATAGGATATAAGAGCTACCCAAACAGCAATAATCTGTCTGACAAAGGTGAGATATACAGATAGACGTTCACTAGAAAGTTTCTCGGTGCAAGGTGGAATGCTGGGTGATGAAAAGGGGAGCACCTAAAAACCACTGTTTGTAGCTAAGACCACTGTAATCTACACACTCTACACCTAATATAGTAATTATTTTATTCGACGGATACCTGTTGTAATACGTCTAATCCCTATCATATTCATTAAATTATAGAGTTTTCTTATTAAGGATGTTATATAAACAAGCTTCATTGAAAAGTTTATTTACTATAGTTTATTTTATCTACTTATAGGTTTTTTTTTTCTAAATTTAGTTTAATATAATAACCTATTATTTTTATTTATACTTTAATAAATAAAGAATTTAAATAAAGATTAAATTTAATATGAAAAAGAAATTAAATTATAAAAAATAAAGTTTATATTTTATATATATTTTTAAATATTTCGTTAAAATATTTAAAAGTGAATTATATATTATAAAGATTTAATAATTTATAATAGAATATTAAATAGGAGTAGCGTGGGAAAGCTATAATAGAGATACGTATAATAAGGTTAATTTAACTATTAATACCTAGCTTAGTATCGATTAAACTAGATTATTGTTATAAATAGCTATAATCGATTAATCGGCTAGCTAAAAACGGCAGCTAAGAAGGGTAATAAAACTAAAATACAAAGATGGCAAGAAAAGGTATAATAAAAGAAGTGAATACTATAAGTCGTGATGGCTATAGAACTAAGTCTAATCTATGAAAATCTAGGTACGAAACCTATATAAATACTTATTCAAAAGGCTACGTAGCTTAGTCCCACTATACCACTATAATATTAATTTTAAAAAGTCTCTATTAATAGTATTACCTAATTATATTAATTATAAATTAAATTTAAAAATCTTATTTGGTAATTTATCTTTATTATTATTAAAATATATTAATAATTATTACCTTCATAGAAAAATTTAATAATCTATATTAAATTAATATTATTTATAAATATTATTTATAGTAAAGTTTTAGTAATAATAATAATTATAAATTTATATAAATCTATACTTACTTTAATAATATTTATAATAAGAAAAAACAATCCTTTTTTTGTCCTTATTTATTAACTTTAGTACTAGGTACGTATTTACATTAAAGCCTACTGCAATCTCTAACAGCGACAAACTGTGGTTTGAAAGCTTGTGAAAGCGAGTTCCACAAATAGGAAAGGGCGCCTGTCCAGGAACTGTTGCGACGATAAAAAAAAAAGGGGACCTCTGATTCCTGCGATCTTTTTCACAACCCTCCCTTCTATTTTTCCATTTCTGCCCAACCCCCCTCCTAAAATTCCGACCACCGACACCGCCTCGCATCTTGCGAAAACCTCTCCTGCCACCGCGACTCGCTGCACGCGCACCACGCGACGAAAAAAGTACCCACGTACCCTGGCAACAACTTTTTTTTATTTTATTTTGCACTGCCAGCTTTTCGCACGCTGCCCATTAATTCGTCTACTAATTTTTTTCACTCTCATTTCTTCGCCTCACGTCACCCCCCCGTCCTTCGCCTAATCTGGCAATCTCAAGCAACCATCGCGACCGCGACCGCTTTGACCACCCGGACAACCTATTCCTGTCGCGAAATCCTGCCTCACCAAGCAGCAACGGTAGCGTCTCATTTGCCGTCGTCGCGCTCGTTTGGTCTGATTTAGTTCAACGCACCAAACATCGCCGATAGTCCTCGACGTCACTATTCGCAGCTGCACCTGACCTTTGCGCATTGCATCGCGCCGGCTTATACCTCATCGACGCTTGCGCTGCAACTCTTGTTCCGAAGGGAATCCCGTTCATTGTTGGCCGATCCAAACCAGTCCGGTTTTCTTTATAGCATTCTCTCGCCGACCTTTTATCTCTTGTCCCACCAGCGCCAATCTCCGTGGGCAGCAAGTTTCAAGGACTCGAGGCAAAGCTGGGCCGTCGTTTTTGATTCTCTCGTCTCGGTAAGTGGGTGAACCGAAGCAGGCCCTTTTCTTACCTCGCCGTCGCCCCCCCCCCCTCCTGTTTTGCTCCTTACCCCCAAGGTCTCTCGCCTCCTTTAAACCACTGGCCGTATCTGCCGGAAGACAAGTTCCAGTTATCTCGTCCTATTTCTTTCGGTGCCTTCACGCCATCATCAACAAAGCACCCACGACCCACGCCCACGCGCCTGTCGGGCCCTGCTGCGTTATCGTCGGTAGGCTCAAACCAGAATATATTCGGTTCATCGTAATCCTGGGCCGTCAGTAATCCTGTCGCGGCTGTCGCTGGACTCGTTCGGTCGTTACTCTGACCCATTGGCGCATCCCAAATCTTTTTGGGATTGAGCTTGACGACGGCGCATACTAAGTTGTTGTGTCTCTTGCCATGGGAGAAGTGCGGATCAGGTGTGGTGTTCGTGGGAAGATACTTGTCCAGCTTCATGCACGCTGCCAGCACCAAACCCCCGACCATTCTTTGCGACCAGAAATCTTTCCCAACCCCCTTTCCCATTGGCCAGCCACCTCATCACCGCCTTCCGAGACACCTGTCGCATTTCGCAAGGCCAGACAGAGTAGGTCGGAGGGCAAACAGGAGCCATCTCCCACTCGTACCGCAAGTCAGGTCGCCGGGTGCCGAAACACAACACATCACCACGTCTCTTCCGTCCCCTCCCTTCCCCTTCCCCACCACCTTCCCACCACCTTCAGCTCGTCGGTGCACCGTGCCATGTACCAGGGTGCCCAACCCAATATCGGCCTGAGATCTTCTTCGGGGACTGACATGACTTACAGTTAATGCGCGTTATCGGCTGACAATCTCGAGGGTAAGCCGATTCCTACTTTTCTAGACAGCGCGTCCTCGCACTCCCTGATCGACCTCTTTGCGCTTCGGCTTGCGAGTGTATAGCGCCGGGCGGCCCGGATCCACTGTCTAGTATTGACTGGCTGTCCAGACCGAATTTCAGGTTATTCAGAGTGTATTCACATCTAAGTCGGTGTGATTCTATTAGGTTCGACTTCTAAGTTTATGTCGCCCATCGTCCCTCCCAGAGTCATCGGTGTCACCTCCATCGCCAACTACGCGACCTCCTTGCGCTGCATTGTGGATGGCAATTATGGCGACCGAGCAACCCCAAGTTCTCCTAGCGGATCAGAAGCCCGCCGAGTCTGCGCTGCCTGAAGACATGATGGTTGACGAGCCGGCGGCACAGATAGTCAATGGGTCAGTATACCAGGTCGGGATAATCCCTATACATCTGGCGTGCTGACGTAAGTATTTCTGCAGACATCGCAAGTCGGACGAAGACGGGACCGAGCCTGACGTACCACCTGTTGTCAATGGGAAGATCGAGTTATCTAAATCTGCATCGGCAGGGACAGATGAGTCGCCGAATCAAAAGGCATTCGCTGCTAATAGCAGTGTCCTCGAACAAGCACCAGTCAAATCCTCTACGCAGCCTCCACCCGCAACCGCTGCTGACGCCGAGATGCCCGACCTTAATGGCACTTCACCTGCCAACCACGAGCCGTCGCTAACGACAGACGCGGATGACGTCGGGGCGGCGGGCGCGTCAATACCCACGCAAGCTATCTTACCAGAAGAGGCATCCACGAACCCAGATCCGGCCCCGAACAGCCCGGCCCCCGCACTGGTTGCAGATACAATGGATATGGACGCCCCTATTGAGCGCACCAGCCTAACGAACGATGAGAAGCCAACTGGTGATATTCATGACACGGCTGGTTTTAGCGATGCGCCGAGGGCCGCGTCGCCCCAACAGCCCGATCAGTCGTCGGTCGCACAGTCCGGGTCTGATGGCCAGGGTCAGCAAAGCGACGCCGTGGCCCCCGCACCCGATACTCCGAAAGCCGACCAGGTTGCCTCTGTAACAAAGATCCCTCGCGGGCGTGAGGAAGACAGCGGCGAGGAACGAGCTGCTAAACGAGCCAAGACGGAGGATTCGAGCGGGCCCGCTGCTGAATCGCTGGTAGTCGCGAGCGTCTTATCGCCTAGCCAAGCAGATCACCAAGTCGCAGATCATACCCCCGAGGACCAACCCATAACTCCCTTCCAGAATAAGCAAATCAGGCAGCATCTAGCAAGCCTCAAGAAGACGAAGAATGGGAGCAATTTCAGGCAGTCAGTGGAGAGATTATGGCCGGGTCTGTGGACCGACTACAAATCCAAGATCGAAAACCCGGTGGACATTTCCTTATTCGAGTCAAAACTGCGCGAAGACAAGTACGCCAACTACGGAGAATTCAAAGCTGATGTTCAATTGTTGTACGAGAATTCGGTCGTATTTAATGGCCCTTCCAACGTTATCACCGTAGCCGCTGGTATGGTGAGAGATCAGCTTTTTGCATGCTTACCCGAAATCTCCAAACTGGAGGAGCCCGCAAAGCCAGAAAAGGGCAAGGTGCAACCGACTAGGCATGCTGAGCCTCGCGCTGCAACTCAGCCACGTCGGCAGTCGCAATCCCAGCGCCCAGCGGTGGTGGCGAGCCCGAAGCAGAAATCCGGTACCCCGGTGCAATCTTCACAGCCGACCCCGGCTCCATCTTCGGCACCAGCTTTTGCGATCCCACCCAATGGCATACCTCAGATTCGCCGCGATTCGACGCGCGAGGATAGCGACAGACCCAAGAGGCCAATCCACCCCCCGAAGAGTCGCGACCTCGACTACGCCTCGGCAAACCGCAAAAAGTTAGAACCCGAGCAACGCTTCTTCGAGGTCGTCTTGGAAGAAGTGAAGAAACAAAAACATTTTTCGTTGAACCAATGGTTTCTCTCCCCCGTCGACCCGGTCGCCCTAAATATCCCGACTTATTTCAGCGTCGTTAAGAAGCCGATGGACCTTGGGACCATGACGAAGAAAAATTATGAGGGCGAGTATAAGAGTGTGAAGGACATGGAGAAGGATATGAGACTAATAGTCCACAATGCCGAACTTTTCAACGGCCCCAGCCACGAGGTCACGGTACTCGCGAAGGAGCTAGACGCGCTATTCAAAGCCGAACTGGGGAAGAGGGACCAGTGGATGAAGCGTCATGGGCCTCCGGAGGCACCACCCCCCTCGGCAACCGCATCAGCACCTAGTCCGGAGCGAAGCAACCATGAATCCGAGGAGGAGGCCGAAGGGGGCGGCGATGAGGGTGGGAGTAGTGAGGCAATCCGCAACTTACAAGGTCGACTAGACGAGGAGCAGGACAAGCTCAATACTCTTCTCGGATCCAAAAAACCGGACCTTACGATGATCGAGATTCAACAGCAGATGGTCTCGATGATTCAACGCAAGCTTGTGGAAGAGAAGACTAAATTCCATAGCGAAGCGAAGAAGCCGAAGCCGAAGAAAAAGCCCGCCAAGAGCAAGCCCAAGGCTGGCGGGGGCGGCACGGCAGTTATGAACAACAAGAAGGCAGCAACCGGAAGCGCTGCAGCCCCCAAGAAGCCCCTTAGCAACAGCACCATTCACAAAAAGACGAGTACGAAGAGTCGTCCTGTCGGGCAGCTCGAGAAAGCCGTCATTGCCGAAGGCATCAACGAGCTTGACGGTAATACATTGACCAAGGCCGTCGAGATTATTAAGAGAGATACGGGTCAGAATGTAAGTTAAACCAACCAACCTCAGGCAGTTTGGAAGGTCGACTTGCTTCCCTCGTCATCGGACGAAGTCGCGTTTCCACTCTAATCAATGCTGGAATAATGCTGAACCCTTCTATAGGAAAATGATGACGGTGAAATGGAACTAGACATCGATGCTTTGTCCACAGAAGCTCTTCGAAAGTTGTATGACCTCATTCACAAGGCCAATCCGGGCATTCGCTCTGTACTCGAAAAGAAACCCGAATTCAGCAGTGTCGCGGAGCCCGAGCCCAAATCGAAGCTCAGCGGCCCCCCCAAGGCCAAGAAGAATAAGCCTATGAACAAGCACGAGCAGGAACGGAAAATCGAGCAGCTCCGCGAGCTCAAGGCCCAACTTCAACGACACGGCAGCGGCAGCCAAGAACCCTTACCCGGAGAAGTTGAAGAAAAACGACCGGCGGAATCGAGCGAGGAAGAAAGCGATTCTGAAGAGGAATGATGGTCTGGGACAGAGGTTCCGGCTCTATGCCTCTTTGACGTTTCCTAACCATTGCCCATTCTGTTGGCGTGATGGACCTCCAAGCCGCTTCCGTACGTTCTTGATTTAGATGCGTCCCGACGAGTAGGTATAACCTTGAAGCCTTTCGCGGGGAAGGAGAGATGATGCCAACAATGGTCCGGGCGAAAAGTTGTGTATGATTATAATCCCACCGCTTGCTGGGCAGCCTGGGGACCGATCCTCTTGGTTGGGTTGGGCCCTCCCGCGGGGCTGGTTAAGTTGTTCGCAGAGAATCCGGCCATGAAGCAAAGGCTGTCGGCGGTATGCTTAAGACACATCCGGCTAGCAAATCTGTTGACGCCGTACGATTCCAGGAGAGGAGTAGATCACGAATTAAGAAGTGAAGTCAACCGTTTGGGACCTATGGTTGCTGTGTAATGAGTGGCCTCGTAGTCTCTACGTACAATGTGATGTCAGTGCAGTTGAGCCGTGGAACATCGTCTACGGCCCTCGTTACCATCTGTAGGGAGTTCCGCCCTAGCCCTTGTATAGGATTCAGGCTACACGCACTTTCCGGCTTGTACAGGTATACAGGCTTACGCTATGAACGAATACCTTAGTAGAATTGGCACTTTAAGTAGTATGAACTACTATCGCCGAAGAAGTATATATATGTGCGGACGTATGTGTGTAAAAGGAGACCGTAGCAGGTTTCGCATTACATCAACTAATTACCCTTGATAAAGCCAGATAAGAACGTGGTTTAAATGTGTACAGATTATTATAGAATTGATAGAACCTAAAGGCGCTTCAAAATACGGCCCAAACGTACGGTTACTCTTACCCCCTTCCACCTACCATTCTCTTGTATAAGGAGACTTGGATAAAGAAGGTAGGATTATATGCACGAGGCGGCTTATTGTCTCCTCTTTTATACCCAGACTAAACTTGATCGATAGAAGCACACGGGCGGCTCGAGAAATTTAACTCTCACTGCACCCAGGCTTCTACTTCACCTAGGACTCAGAGGTTCGTAGCGTATAAAACCTCACGAAGATATCCGGCAATGGAAAAACTTTAGCAGTGAGGTCGCATGACCTTGGGTTCCGCATATGCAGAGACGGCATTATAGAAAGAGAGAAAACAAGGCTGTGTTTAACAAAGGGAACTATAAAGAACGGTTAGTGACATAGATACCTGCATAAACTCTTATAACTTAGTACGGTCTATATGTATTAAGGAGGTATAGAGCGTACGCGATGCTAGAGTCCCGGATAGGTTTACTTAAAAGTATACTCTATCGAAGACTATAATACGTACGATGGTCTAGGATAAATAAAACTAATATTATTATACTAATCGAGAGACGAAGAATTTAATGTAGTTATTATATCTCGGTTATATCCCTTAGCCGTAAAGATGTAGTAATCGCTAGCCTAAAGGCATAGGAGGTAAGGGAAGAGAAGGAGTAAAACATAAAAGTTATTTATTCTTATAACGGTACGACGAAGTAACTTAAGCGCCTATAACTAAGATAAATATATTAATTAAAGAACGACGAATTTAATAATAAAAACGAATTCTTAATTAAGGTAAAAATAATAAAGATAGTAATCTAATTAAGTTATAAATTAAATAATAAGTACAGCATAGCCTATATTTATAGGAGCTATAATTACTTTATATAAATATAAGGTTTATCGTAACGTATTACGTAATATATTAAAAGGATATATCTTACCGTATTATTATAACCTCCTTAGTTTAATTATATCGTAAGAGATAATTAAACTAAAAAGAATAGTACGGTATATTCCGATTAATATCTCCCCTTAAAAATTACCACGAAACTTTATTCTATTAGTTATTATTTAATTATTAAGGCCGAGCCTTTATTTTATTATTTAATATAACGAGGAGGCTCTTTTATTACTTTACGATTAACTTAACTTAATTTATTCTTACTGATATAACCCGATCGGCGTATTACTTCTCTATCTCGGCTACCTTTTTCTTAGTTTCGGCTTATCCTTCTTAGTTAAAAGGATAATAAAGGAACGGACGCGTTCCGAGGGTCGATTAGGTATCTCTTCTCTACTTATACGGTATAAAGGTCTCCCCGGTTTAAAAAGCTTTAATTCTAATTAAGTTAAAGGAAGGAAGGGGACGGGTAGTAACTTTAACGAGGTCGTCGTAACGGAGCTCGGCGTCTACGGATACGAGGAATCGGGATAGGTTAGGTATTAAGGCTACGGAAAAACGCCAGACCTCCGCTTACGCGATTAAACGAACGGACGATTTACGGTTAAGGGGCTTACCGATCGGCGTACTTTCGGCGGAGGTTATAACGTTAATAAGATCGATTCGCTTCTTATAATTTACGGCTTACCGGAAACGCTTAACGATATTAACCCTTCTTTTTAAAACTTAAACGTTATAAAATTACTGTAGTAGTACGGTAAGACATGCCCTCTTAATACATTACGTAATACGTTACGATAGGCCTTATGCCTATATAGAGTAACCATAGCTCCCGTAAGTACGGGATATGCCATGCTTATTATTTAATTCATTACTTAGTTAGATTACTATCTTTATTATTTTTACCTTAATTAAAGATTCGTTTTTACCATTAGATTCGTCGTTCTCCGATTAGTATATCTATTTTAATTATAGGCGCTTAAGTTACTTCGTCGTACCGCTATAGCCGAATAAGTAACTTTTACGTTTTACCCCTTTTCTCTCCTTATCTCTTATGCCTTCGGGCTAGCGACTACTATATCTCTACGACTAAGGGGCATAGCTAAAATACGATAACTACATTAGATTTTTTACCTTTCGATTAATATAGTAATATTAGTTTTATTTATCTTAGACTATCGTACGTATTATAGTCTTCGATAGAGTATACTTTCGAGTAAATATATCCGGGTTTTTAGTATCGCGTACGCTCTACTCCTCCTTAGTAGCGATTACTACGGGACTTTTTCGATCCCTTAACCCTTAGTTTACGGAGTTTCTATTACTTTATTAGGATTTAAAGAATACCGATCGCCGTCGGCGCCGCCGTTTAATCCGCGAAGTAATCCGCGTTTTACGTTAAATAAAGTATCCCGCCTTATAGTTATTTATTTACTATAGGAAGGTACGTATAAGCCCGGGAACTTTTATAACGATACCGTAGCTATTAGGATAACGCTTAGCCCTTAATACTTATAACGTTAATAAGCTATCGATATTACGATATAATACGACGATTAAACCGCGTTTATACCGATTAGGATATCCTTCGTATGGTTATTTATCTACCATACGGAAAAACCCGTAAAACCCGGGAGAACTTTCGTCGTAATATTATCGCTACTAGGGATAGTACTTAGCCCTCGATACTAACCGCTTCCTCGAACCGCTAATAGTATAGTATATCTCGTACGAATAAATAAAGCTTATAGCGATTAAGGCAGCCTCCTTATAATTATTTATTTACTATATAAACTAAACGTACGAGCGCTTTAATATAAATTACGATAACTTATACGACCCGCTACTCCTTTATTAATACTAAGGGCGGATAAAGGCTAATAATAATTATATCTTAACCGACCTTACGATAGCTTCTTTTTCCTTCTAAACCTACTAATCGATATAAATTAAATATATAAATATTAATAATTCATTATACTAAAGGTATTTTAAAATACTTAGGCGTAACGATTCGACGATATAGTATACGATATAATATAAATATTTATATTAATAATATAGATAGGAATTAATAAACTAATAGTTATTAGTAACCGATAGTTTTAAAAAGAACTAGGAATTAATATTAATAAAACTACGTAGATATAAAGGATTAAGGAAACGGAATTAAAGTCGAATTAATAGGTATACCTATATATAGGCTAGCCTTATATTACTAACTAATAATTAGTATAGCGAGAAGTATTAATATAGGCGTAAAACGGCGCCTAGCGGTAATACCGTTAATATTATTAAATAGCTTCCGTTAAATCGAAACCGGCCTATAACTATAACCGGTATCGTATTTAACGCGATTCTTTATTCGGGATTTATCCCCTATACGTATTACCTTAACGAAGGTTATACGTTAGGAGTTTTAAACCTTAATAGGAGGAATTATCGTCGATTTATTTATAATAATTAAACTATTAATCTAGGAAATACGCATCGTATTTTAATTAGGCGTTAGCCGATTAAAGAAGCTCGTATAATACCCGGACCTTATCGATCGGGATAGTATAATAAATAATAATATACTTATACTAAAGAAAAAGTATTAGGATATAAATAATAGCTATTATACCTTTACTTCTATATTAAATAATAATACCCTTACTACCCCCCTTTCTACTTTATACCTCGTACCGATAAACTAAACGGAATCCGTAGCTAAGAAACGGAATAAATCGCCGTTAGGACCCGAAGTAATAAAGACTAAACTATTAATAAAGACCTTAAGAATCGATACTAACTCTCCGCTCCTATATCCGCCCGAAGAAGAGGAAGACGACGATAAAACTCTTACTTAGCTACCCCTTACCCGCGGCTTTATACTTATTCCGTTAATCCCTATGGCATTATCTTAGAATAATAATAACGGGGCCTTTAGTAGCTAGAATATATCGGTAGTTACCCCGACTATCGTAATATTAGTTATTAGGTTCCCTAACCCTACCGATTACCCTAGGCTTAAGTTTAATAAATATAATATAACCTAGTAATTAGAAAAGATAAATCGATTATTTAACCGCTACCGTATAAGCGACGACGATAAGATTAAGGAAATCGGCGAATAAATTACGATTAAGATTATTAAGAAGCGTATTAACGACGTTACGAAGGATTAAACGATTTAAAGAGTTATCGTTATAACCTTAAAGTACCGTTTTAGGATTACCGATAAACTAAACTAAGCTAACGTTAAACGTAAATTCGTATAGCTAAAACGAGGTAACGTAATTAACGATCCTAAGGCGATCTTTACGTATCTTATGGATTATAAACGCCTTTTTAAGCTCGTAAACGATAACGGGAAGCTTCCTTAGAAAGTAAGATACCTAATCGATAAATTCCGGATATTCCTAATTATAAAGTTCTATAAAACGGAAGATTATAACTATAATAAGATCGGAAATATCGACTACCGGATTCTTTATACCTAGCTTTATAAGTAAGCGGAACGTCGTATAGTAATATAAATTACCGATAAGGCCTAAGCCGAAGAACGACGATAATAGAAAACGGTAACTTTCGAAAAATCTGAAAAGCCTATAATATAAATAGTTTAACGATTAACGACTCCTAGCCTTTAAATACCTCTACTACCGCCTCCTTCGTAGCCTAGATCCTTTTACGGCTACCTAAGTACTAGTTAAGAAGCTAGTATATAGGTCCTCTACGACCGACTTAACGCTCTAGAGATAAAGATAACTTCGTAGAACTACCGTTAGGATAATAGCTTTTATAGCCCTAAAGGTACGTATAGCGCCGATTAATAATATTAATAAGAAAACCCGTTCCTAGTAAACGCGGTTCGGAACCTAAGTCTTTATAACCTATAAATTAACGGGAGAACCCTAGTAGGCTTTAGACGTAATACTATACTAAACTACCGAGGTATACGTAATAGGATTTTATTAACC